GTCAGAAAATCTTATGTATCCACCCACTTGGGATAATTTAGTTAAATTAGAAGATACGATTAATGTTAAATCATACATGATAGACAGGAAAATAACTTTTGTATTAGAGGTAGCTTTAATAACCAATTCAACTTATAGTTATAATAAAATGTATCCCTTACCTATCTTTCATGACCCTAAAACCTAACCTTAATAATCATTCCTAAATATCCCTATATCCTGGTGAAAGGTGTAACATACTTACCGCTTATACAGCCTTGCAAACAAGTCTCTGAGGAAAATTTATTATCTCTGCACACAAGAAAACAGGGGCACCGTATCCTGAAACGACATGCATTGAGGAGCTGATGACCTTCAAGGAAAACCCATCCAACTGTGACCAGAATACAGTAATTATAGAAGAGATTAACCCTGCGATCTCAACATCAATGACATCCAATTACATCATCAGCGTTCATATACAGAAAATATGTCATCAGAACGTATCCCATCCATTAAGCTGCTGGAGTTACAGTCAACAGTGAACTCTAAGGAAAATCAGAATCCAGTAAACTTACAAGGAATGGAGCTCAGTGACCGGCAACACATGTCTTACATGCTGTAACAACTTAACAGAGATAGTGATAGTGAAATGGGCAATTCAGTGAAAGTGAAAAGCATTAGTTTAGGCACTCTTTTATTGTATTTTGCTAATTGTTGTGTTTTTTATAAAAATAAGATTATTAATATGTTGCAGTGGCGAAATAATCAGAATTTGCATGTGCAATCCCCTGATAATTTCGCTCTTAAGGAGGGAGGAGTTATATAATCCCGTGTGTCACCACCATAGGATAATTATATTTTATGTAAACAAAAAACCATTGCAACATAGTAGTACAAAGATCCTTTATATTTCAATAGCCGAAATGCTGTTACATGATTTACGAACCACTCTTAGTTCTTACTAAGTAACGTTTCCTTGTAGAGCGTGAGAACAATGTGTCAGCACAACGGTCACGTAGGCCTTTAAGAATAGGATATAAATATAATAGAATACTATGCCACGTATACCGACGACGTCCCATGCCCAGAAGGGTGCACCTTGGCCCTCTACGCGGACGATACGGCGTACGTGGCCACATCCCTAAAAATAAAACACGCTGCGGTTAAGCTCCAACGCGCTCTGGACCTCCTGCCAGAGTGGCTAGAAAAGTGGAGACTAGCCGCCAACCCTAACAAGACACAGGCGATTGCCTTTGGCCAGAGTAAGTTGCCGCCGCCCCTGAGATTCCTGGATCAGGATGTGCCGTGGAAGACGCAGGTCATATATTTAGGGGTCACCATAGACCGGCGACTCACGATGCGGCACCATGTCAACAGGGCAGTAGGGAGAGCCAAGGGTGCGACGTACGCGCTCTACCCCCTACTCTACGGCAACTTACCCCTCCGAATCAAGCTCGCGCTCTACAAACTGTACGTGCGCCCACACCTAACGTACGCGGCACCGGCGTGGTACTCCTACACAAAGGAGTCCCACCGCCAGAGACTGCGCGCCGTACAAAACATCAATCTACGACGCGCAGTGGGGGCCCCCCGCTACGTTAGGAACACCACCATAGCGCGGGACTTGAGGATGGAGTCAATCGACGAGTTCGTCGCACGGCTCACCAAGGGGATGTTTGATCGAGCGGACGCCTCTCAACATCCCCACCTCAAGGACATCGCGCCGTGGCACTCCAGGCCACCAGACAAGTACAGGTATCCGCGTGAGCTATTCTCCGCGGATACCCCAACCACCGGACGTGACACCAGGGCAGCAACCGCGGCTACGACCGCTGGTCGCCTCGCTGGGCCTCCCCCGGGGCCACCGGGGGTCTCACCCGGCGGAGCTTGACCGCGAGCCGCGTAGCTGCCCGATACCAACCATCGAGACACCAGGGCCAAGTCGAGAATACTCCTTGGCCCCAAACCACCGGACTTGACACCCCGGAATAGACCCCATCGGCTGCGCGCAGCGAGTTGAGGCCAACGCCTCCTTGCGCGCTGCAGCCCCCACCAAGAGGAGAAACCTCGACCCCGTACCGCCCTGTATTAGCAGGGCGCGAGAAATCACTCCACCCGAAGGGGGCATAGCCCCGAACGGGCTTAAACACACCCCTCTAGAGGGAGTGTGTAACAAAAGCAAATGGAATAGAATACTTGTAATATTTAGTATTAAACGGACCTCAAATCGGACCGGTTGTATTCATTTTAACTTTAAGTTTTTAAAAACCCTTTTTCGCGGACCCACTACTTGACTACCTACTGTTATACATAATATGTACACAAAATGCTTCGTGTTTCACTTGTTTAGGATAACTATGCGTTTGAGGTCTTTTATGATAAAATTGTGGAAAATTAAGAAAAGGAAGGGAAAATTAAAGATTTTTTATTAAATTTGGCGTAAGTTGAGCTTGTAAAATGATGATAATTTAGACGAAGTATGAACTCCGAATGAGTGCCTAATTGGGTGTGTAATGGGATGAGCGTGTCGCGTGCCGCCTTTCGTTTCCCAGAACTCACTCTCAGTCAAACGAAGCATCTGATTTAGTTACATCTTTGTTTTTGTCGAGACCTTTCCAAAAATTCCCTGAAATTGGTGAGATACCGGTTTTGAAATACAATAGCAATTTTGCTTTAATTCTATTTTAGAATGAAACTTAACGCGGTTAACGGAAATTGGGCAACAACGAAGGCTAATAGTTTAATTTGAATATAAATAAGCGTGAAATCAATGTGGCGTGGCTTGGTGTGTTAGAGAGCGGAAAGGAAGGCATCCATAAAGACGCCCGCATCAAAGCGCAGTCAAAATAAGTTTTATTGCCTGTAAATATCCGTTTTGTCGATGCGCATAGGATACATATAGCTGGTTAGTAGCTTTATGAGCTTCTACAGGTTAACGAAACATGAGGGACTGCTTTTGAATAGACTGTTGATTTTAATTTAGTTAAAATCATTGTATTTTTATACAATTTGTCGATTGTTTTTCTAAACACGTTGAAAGCTAAGATAGCAGTGAAATCTCGCTCATCATCTACAACTTGTTCATATCGGCGATTACTTACTAATATCAAAAATGAACAAAATAAAATATTCAAACTTACATTATTTTCATTTAAAGTACATAACGGTTACAAGAACTATAAAAAATAGCTGTGTTTTCTCTGTGAGAGATAGCTAGAAGTGGCAGAAACAAATGTGTGGTAATCGAAAATACTGAGAATTCAATTGTGTATGAGGAGAGACAATAAAAATGTAATTTTATCTGGTCGTCCCGGGTCCCACGCCCTATTTCATTTACATTTTATCCTCCGATACCTCACTAGATATTCAGATGTGGAATTGTTTTATAGAAATATGTAGTTATGTCATATTTTCTCTTGATACCATATCATATTCTTCGTTTTACATAACTGCTTAAGTTTCAAAATAAGAAGTTATACTTATATTTTCTGTGAGTTCAAAGCAAATATGTTTCTACGTGTTGTGATAAAATAGCGGTGCTGAGTGAGCAAAACTAAACAAGATTTTTATATCTACAGGCATAAAGTTGTCTTTATTGTATTCACGTAACCCGATAGACAATGTCTCGAAAACCTTATATAAACGACACGTTAGTTTCTTTTAGTTAACAAGGGAACGATAAGATAACAATGCGTATGCAAAACAATTACGCGTTCATTGAAATTTTAAATTAAAATCTCTCTTATAGTACTGAGTAGTAGACGCGAGGCGTAATTAGATAATTAAAAAGCTGGTGTGCAGTCGTCGTGACAGGACAATTTGCCGGCTAATGACAGGATACCGACCGTAAATATTGATTTATTAAAAAGGCCCTCTACACAGCTGGTCGTTAGCGATCACTATCTAGAAGGCTTACTGTTAGTCGCAATATACTTCCGAGCTAGAAAGCTTGGAAGCCGTAATAAATTGCTAGCATTATCAGTACTTCATCCGTACATACCCATTTATAAATTAACTTAATGAGTATATTTACAATAATAATAATAAATTCTCCTTTACAATAATAAATATCAGAGAATGTCAGAGAATTAAGATGTAATTAAAGCAAATAGAGGCGACGCGCCTATAAGCTTTGGCCGCTACCTTGAAGCCTACTCAAAAGTCCTTTAGGAGAACTTTCAACATTTCAGAATAAATGAAAACGGTCTGAGTCTTAGGCACGTCTCTCTTTAATGGCGACATTGAATTAATACTGTCACCCTTCACATTTTGTAGATTACTCAAGGCAAGCCTCTCAAGAGAATCTCACTATAAAGTCAGCATCGTGAATGCTTCAAAAGTTACATGTTTTTGTCTATATTAAATAAAAATAATTGTGTCGTATGCTAATCATCAAAGATATTTAAAAGTAAAATTCAGTAAATGTTTTTTTATTTTATCTTTTATGCAGCTGTAAAACAGAAATTACCAATCGGCGTATCCTATCCTATATAATCCTATCTGTGAATAAATGCTAAATCGATATTGGTACTAAAGTGAGCGCTCGTTTATCTCGAGCGGCGAGACTCGAACCCACTACATTATGCACCGGAGATTGCGATACACTATTTAAAATATTTACTATGCTGGTTTATTACCTAAAAGTTTAAAAATTTAAATTCTTAAAGGCTACGGTAAATCTTGATACATTTATTTTGTACCCTCTTATGAAATAGCAGAAGACATGCTTTAAGCATTATTTAAATGTGTTATAATTATAGAAATTACCGAAATAGTGATGTGGAAAAACAAAATGATCTAGCTATACAGTAATATTGTTATTATATATTATATTATATATATATAATATATTACCCGAACACAATATACGTGCAAAACAAAAAAGCTATTTTTAACTCTGTAAGTTTCTGCAACCGGAGAATACCTCGCTTTATTATTTTTTTTGTTTTTTTCTGCATGTACTACAGATGTCAACAGAGTCTCCATATAATATTATGAAATGTATGGATGTGTTTCAGGCGGAGGAGCTGAATGCGCTAGTGGGAGATGCGTTCCGCATGGCGTTCGCCTCGCAGCTACAACCCTCTGCTCCACTTTGGGTAAGCAAAATTTTTTTACGGATATAAATATTTATATAAATACTTCCGCTATTTTTTTTCCTGTGTATCTTTTAAATCACTATTAATTTATCAGAATTATTTTCAAACTTTCTTGTAAATGTTTCCGTATACCTATATCGTAATATGATTCCTTTACTATGTAGGAATAATATTGTTTACTTATGACTCGCCACTGCCTTAAAGAAAGGCGCCTGGAACAACACCATAATCATCACACGGAACATTGTAATCAACGGGAACAACTTTTTATGATATTTTTACACTTTGATTTTACGATGCCTATTTATCCAGAAGATTCTATTATCGCTGAGCTCTCCTAAATTACTTACTTAAATTTTTGGTAACATGCAAGAAATAATATAGTATCTCAACATTAATTATAGCTCCTTAGGTGTAGAACAAATGTCGACATTAGATTAGATTAGATATTATTAATATAAAAACACGTAACCCACAATTATTTCCATTCATGTTTTTTCTCAGCTTGTTCTATGTGGGTTTTATACCTGCCATAGTGGGTGAATTCCATCCAACAGTTTTTGTGTTTAGAACAAATACACGTTAAATTGATAACCTCCTCTTTCGTTTTTTACGTCGTTCACATATACCTACCGTAATTCCAATAAATCCTCTTACGGAGTTTGATTTCGTATAAGATTTTGGTATATAAAACAAAAGCTATCGTGAAAATTGTTTTTGTGCTGAGATTAATAAAAGTAGGTAAAAAAGCTGTGGAGGTGTGGAATTCAATAAAAATAGCTAAGGCGACTTGTAATCGAATCCGCCCTTTATGGCGCTCACCTCGCGAGGGCCGGTTATATTGGCAGTTGCACCTCCTCATGATTAATGTATTGGAAGAGCATTCAATTGTTGGTAGTACTTACTTACCTGAAATACAGCGCAATAAACATTTTTATACTCTTTGTAATATTGTCTTCCACAAATTAATTTTAACGCTGATGTTACATCGGTCGCTTATTTTATTGAGAACGTTAATTAAAGATTCAATCTACTGTTAAATTCATTTTGGCCTACATAATGACAAACACAACGAGCTATAAATTGGAGTGGCTTGTTCCTCTCGGGGCCACCACATTCGTTTGTCGGATGTGAACGAGACGCACGTTCCGACATCCGTGGGATGAAAAGAGCGAGGTGACGTAGGGACATATTTAATTATTGTGGAATTTCTCTTTAGAAAGTTCACATTTTAAGTTGAATGGCGTGCACTCTTTGTTGCAAAATTTTTAATCAGTTGATAGAGGTCTATGACCTTGCGAAGGGCGGTGAGTATCGACATTCGATATTGTGTTAAAACTGTCACAGTGGAAGTAATTCTGATTGACAGCTGACTTTACATATGTTTTGATGTTTTCGATAAACAGTTTTTAATTGATTTTTTTTTAGTTTTAGTAGACCTATAAAGGTAAATGTGAGATACATGTTAATTTGAAAAAAGTTCGCTCGGGGGCAGATTGAGCTCATTGTGTCCCGAAAAGTTGTCATTTAAATGTTAAAGTGCTGAAACTTCGGCTCATAATTCGCGGTGAGGGACGAAACATTTCAGATTCAAATAACTTTTTTGTACTTATATGATTTTCGTTTGATTCGCCTTGATATTACGCGATTGCGTGTTGTTCCCACGGTAATGTAAGTCCATGCTCCTATTTCACCGCGCCTTGATAGAGGTGAAATTCCTTTTTTATGTACCTATTAATAATAATTAACTGTTTTAACTAACATGATGAGGAATATGGTGTAATGGCAATGAGCAGGTGCTTATAAACATTTAGTAAGAGTGATCGTAAGCGATCTGGCAGTAAATGTAAATTTAGAACCATTATTATTTCTTTATTGACGTTCGTAAGTGTACATTAAGTTTCCTACATTAATAATAATTATATTATGATTTTTCCACTAAGCAGCTATTTTCAGATTAAAAAAGGCTATCTCTCTTAAATGATTCTCCAGCAAGTTGTATTCCGACTCTTCGGTAAGTTGATAGGGCATAATTTGTTATGTACACGCGTTCGTGATTCTCCGCAATAAAAAAGCTCACAGTCGCACCTTAAGCAAATAAGCGGAACTATTTTCATATTACATACAGTGTATACTCTTTATAACGCATTTGAAGGGACCGAGCATTTTTTTTCGTTATATATCGAGAGTTTTCGGTATACCGACGGAAGAGAAAAAAAAACAAACCAACCAATTACAATTTTACATATAATAGATAGGTGACGATGGTGCATTTAGTAACTGAGACTAAAATTTTCGGCAATGTAATCTAAGAAAAATGGCACACGTGTTAATGCAATTAACAATAACAAAGGCGATAAGGCTGTTTATGACCTCAGGTGTCTTTCTTAGAAATTTCGGCACCTCAAAATGTTAGTTTTGTAAGCTGATTATGAGAATATTTCTCCGTAATAGAGAGTGGCTGTTGCGTCAATGCTAAAGGCTGAATTAATGTATAGGTTTTGTGTTAAACCAAACACATTTAACTCATTTTTATAGAGAGTTATTCGTTATAACGAATGAATTTATAAAGAGTTAACACTGTATATGCTTTCTGTTTGCGTACCAGATGCCTTCATAGTTTTTTTATAAGTAAGTAACGCACAGTTTTCTGTGTTAGTAGGTATCTGATAAAAGTAATCGATAAGTATCTAATACATATTCCAATAACGGTGTACGTCTAAAAAATATTTTGTTATGTTATGAAAAGCCAATTAACTTCGGCTTACGAGAAGTGTCTCGATATTTGTATAATATATTCAGTTAATAGTCAAATTAAATGAAAGTTTTGTCAACAAAAGTACTTTTATAAATGTGTATGTTGTGAAGGCCCCATTAAGAGTCAAGGGATCGGGATTCGGGAGGTCGGTGCAAAGTCAGGGGTTGCCGTGACAAGTGGTAGTAAGCGCGGCCGAACAAAAGAACTAAATGCGCTGCCGATCGGTTTTCACCCCAACATTTCATTTGTAGTAACAGCTTTCAAAGTAAATCCATTTGTTTTAGAACAAGAAATCGTTGCGGTATTGATATATGATACGATTGCTATCAGCAACCGAGTTCACTAACGTTATGGCAAAACTTATTTACAGGACGAATATTGCTATTTTCAAGTTCTAACTACTTTTATTAGCTGAATAGAGTAGTGATAGAAAAAAATGAATGAACGTTTGTATTTTCAGTAGGCACTGTATTTAATTTTAATTCCCAAGAACAGAGTTGTAGAACTTCGAGACAAACATACAAATATAGTAAAGGCAGCGCACACAAAGGCAGTAATCACGCTCAGAAACGAATTGAAACTATTACAGCTGATAGCGATCGCACTGTGGCTGACGACCGACCGAAAGTCCCTCGGCCCACCCCGCCTCGCAATATCTCTGGACCGTTTGTGATCCAATTCCTACTTTATCTATCGAGCCTCCGAAAGCTTCACTTTTATTTGCGTCGATTCTACAGTTTTCAGCAGACGTCGCCAAAATACTCGTATATATTTTATTCTAATATTACCGTTATAATATAGGTACAGCGTTTCTAAATACTACTAATGATCTTTAAAATGGATAAAAACAGCTATATTGTTATATGTTAGTCGGGCCTACAAAAAAAAAGCATTGTCTCTAACATCGCAATGGTAACTTTTTCCCATAATTTATGCGTCGGCGGCACGTCGCGTGACAAACTGACAATACGAAACATCCGCCCGATACTAATAATATTACATTTTACGATCCCGAAAATAACTTTAAAGTTATTTCATTATAGTGAATGCTGAATTTCGAAAAATACTACGACAAATAGGAGAACAGATCTTACCGTGACACAAATGACTTCGTCGATGCACCTTTTACGCTCTCGGAACCTTCTGTCGTATACCTATAAGTTCTTTACCCGACCTAAGCCGAGGTTGGGGCAATCCCCGAGAAGCAAGCACACACAATGCAGTGTGATTTCGGTCGGCATTCGGCGCCGTGGCATTCCTCGTGGGGAATGTGGCCTGACCGGCCGGTATCGGCAACAATAGTTAATATTATACTCGCCGTAGAGAGTATAATATTATCAAATCTTTTATTAAAATAACGATTATATTGGAATAATAAAAACAAGATCCGACTGTGCAAGGATTGATTTTGTTATCATATTTTGTAACTATTTCATAAAAAGCCGAAGTTCCTGGTAGACAAGGTAAATAGAGTAGGTATATATTTTAATGAATGAATGTAAAATATCCGCAGAGCAAGGAGGTAAGCGGTGGTCCGCGAGCTCCTGACTCGCTGCCGGGCCTCGCGCACCACTACCCGCGCTGCCACAGCAGGTAAATGCACTTTACTATTGAAGCGGCCTCACGTTGGCAAAGCTACCGCATTAATGATCAACGTAGGAGAGAGTATTTAATTGTTCATCGATCCACGTCTCGAGCAGATCTCCCGCACGATGCGACGCGACGGGCGGCGAGAACGCAGAGGGGTCGGCGAGCGAGGGCAGCGAGGGCAGCGAAGCGAGCGAGGGCAGCCCCAGCTCCTCCGAAGACTGGGTCTCCCCCGGCGACCCGAGTCGCTATCGTCGCCTGGCCGAGCGACCGCCCCTGATGAAGCGACTGGCCCTCGGGCTCAGCGGGGCGCTGCTGCAGCCGTCCGACGACGACGCCACTCCTCTCGTCACCGACACGCCCACCACGTCAGTATAGACATTTATTTGTTTATCCTAATTATTTCCGTCGAAGGATCTGATCGAGCGTTTATTTATTATTTGCAGGCACAAGTTAATAAAATCCCGCCGCGCTCTCTGCCAGTCAAATTGAATTAGAATCTTCTCTTGCAGGCCGACTAACGTGCCTCTGTGCCTGAACGGTGGCTACATCAACGAGGCCACCGAGGCGGCCCGCCGAGCTGCGTCCGGGAGGGGCCTGGAGTTTCGCAGAGGGGACGCTCTCTCCAACGGGTCAGGAGTCATCCTCACTAATACTTTCATAATAATTGTATATTTGTTAATATTCATTTACTTATATATAAAATTATTCAACCTTTACGGTTACAACTAATGTAATCCGACGAGTGATAAAAATGTAGTCTACGTATATTCTATGACTAATAATGAATTGAAGTCAAAGTGTGATCTCTTCTCCTCACAAATGTTTTTAAAATCTGTAAAGTAAATATCATTTAATCACATAGGTAACATAATGTACACTTATGACATGCCAGTAAAGAAATAATCTAAGCTCGATAATCACTTTATTTAGGAACTTTTAGTCGTTAGGGGAGCTCGATCAGCTCCGGTGTTCAAACCTCAAGCCCAATGTAATTTTTTTTAGAAAAAAGGCAATGTCGTATTGTAATTTTCGGTTGCCCTCGTTACACGAATTCGAGGCCTCAGAATCTGCGGTCGAAGAGGCTAACCGCTAGACTGATGCGTCGGTTACGATACAGTGACGTTATGAGTTTCCTATTTCAGTCGCGGCGGAGGCAGCGCACCCGCATCCTCGTCCTCGGGAGAGTCGTCGGGCGGAGCGTCGCGCGAGTCCCGGGAGTCGCGGGGCTCCGGGAACAACAACTTCCGGCCGATAGAACCCGAACTGAAGAATGCGCCCTGGTTCCAGCAGGGAATACCGAGAGAGGTTTAGACATATTATTTATATATATTAAATACCTGTCCCGCAGTGATATAGCTTTACTCCGTAAAACAAACAATATTACGAAAGACGATTAAATGCTGAAAATAGAGTAAATGGAGCGTTTCATTCGAATGGAACAAATACCGTGGAAATGAATGTAAAGAAGCGAGATACGTGAGCAGAGTGAGTTAGAAGAGGATACGATAGGGAATGCTTTGGTGGTAGGATTTGTCATGTAGGATGGATGAATGAGAAGCGGTTAACGAGTAGGCATACGTCAAGCGTAGATGGTGTAATCGGATTGTGTAGGAGGCACTAGAGAAGGGACAAGTTAACAGAACCCAGTGGATGAAGCGAGGTGTGTCAGGACCGTAGCGAGTGAGGATCTGTGGTGTCCGCACACCTCTACGGGAAAAAGGCGTGATGGTATAAATAAAAAGTAAGTGAGTAATGAGCAAGCGCTGGAATGGTTCGACTAATGAATAATTAATCCTTTTTACCTTAAAATAGCGAATAAATTTTGTCGTAAAAAGCTGTAGTAAAAAGTACCTCTTTCGGTTTGCGGGAGGAACGTTCCTCCTTGATACGTTCAAAGCTTAGATTTGCTTAAAGTTCTTTTCGAGTTTAAAATACTCATAAAGGTGAAATTAGAAATGACCGAGACGTCGACCGAACAGATCGCGCTGGAGGTGCTGAGCGCGCAGGCGCCGGGGGCGTTCCTGGTGCGCGGCAGCACGACGCAGGCGGAGTGCCTGGCGCTCTCGCTGCGGGTACCGCGGGACTTCGCCGCGCACGGCATCGCGCACTATCTCATCCTGCGCACCCCCAAGGGCTACAAGATAAAGGGTTTCACGAAGGAGTTCGGCTCGCTGGCTGCGCTCGTCACCCACCACAGCGTGATGCCCGAGCTGCTGCCGGTGCCGCTGCGGCTGCCGCGCGCTCCGCCCCGGCCCCGCGCCGACCTCGAGCCTCTCGAGCGCCTCGCCCCCCCGCCCTCCCCGCACCCCACGCCTCCCGCCCCGCCCGTCAGGTGCGCCAACATCCTGTAGGGGACAGGGGACTCGAGTGGACGTTAATCTATACCGATGGCTGCGGTCGGTGTTCGAGCATAAGTAGCTAATTATTATAATTAACAAATTAGATCTTAAAGCCCGAATACTCTAGTTCGTTAACGGTGATCTATTTAATGTAACTAAATTTTTAACTTTGTTCGAAACTTTTCCTGAGAGGAAAACTGAGAACCGAAAACTCTGTTACGAAACGTGATCGCGAAGTGCATTAATTGTTGCCTGATATATATATATATAATATGTTAGTTCTAAAATATGATGAAATTTTGGCAAATTATATCAAAATTATGTAGTCGTTGCAAGTCATTAAATTATTGTACGTTGTCTGATTGGCGCTCGCCGAGATAGGTTTTATATTGATAATGTGATAATGTAATATTGATAGGGTGTATATTGTGTAAAATGTATGTGGTTTGTGAGTGTAGGGATTTGTGTCATATTTTTTACATATAGCTTTCTTACGGAGCGGTCGACGACGATTTTAATTTTATTGAATAAATGGAATTTCGCATTTTACCTTCTAGTTAGTGAATGTCGAACGAACGTTTAGTTAGGGATGTCTAGTCTTAATTTTGTATTAACCTTTTTTTATATAATATTATTTTCTTATGAGTACATGTGTATTTTTTTCGACTAAATTCAGATCCTATTTGGTGCTTTTAAAATCCAATAATTGTTTCAACCTAGTGGATGAAGACCTCGCTTCGATAACAATTTGGAGAAAAGTTATAATTAAAAATAATTTCTTAAACATCCTGGAGTCCGAAGGTACGTCTCCTCTATTTTGCTAATTTGATTTCTAGTCTCGTAAGGTCAATACAGTAATACGACTGTAGCCTCAGAAATATAATGTTCTGTTACTTTAACCAGACGAATTTGCGTATTATTCGTGCTATTTTCCCTTAACCTGTATTCCGAAAACTACATTGTATAAGCTATACGTAGTTGCCAGTCGTTAATTTATTCATACGTAAATAAAATTAGTACCAAATACGTTTAATATGTATTTTTATTTGTTTGAATTCCTTTTAAGTCCTTAACGATAAGAGTTTTTTGAGATGATACTTATTTAACATTCATGGTAGGTAAACATTGAAGAGTGAGAGCTTGTTCTTTTTGAGAAAGGATTGGATTTGAGAACTGTTTACTGTGGGATATTTCGGTTGGTATTATGATGTATATTATTAAGATTGGTCGTACTTTGATGATGTGTACTAATTATTATTAATTGTATTCTTTTGTTGTTCCACTAAAGCGAAGTATACAATAATTAGCTTTAATACATTATTTATAAAAGCGCCCTCTCTTGAAAACTTGTCTAACTATTTAGTCGACACGATTCGTTGCAATGTATTTCGAGAAGTTAACTTGCGAGTAAGAACGTGCCATCTATGGGATTTTTGAGTAATCAAATACTGCTAAATGTAACAAGTTTACAAGATGCCGTCGTGGCGAATAGATGTCATTATTAAAAGAGTTTATGTAGTTTACATTATAACTGTTTGCACCGCTTAAAAACTAAAGCTTTTACTGAAAATGTACACATTTAAAGGAATTAGTTTAACATTAATAACCAAATGTTTATGACAGTCAAAAAATAAATAATTCTGAAAGTATCTAAAAGTCTCTTTGAGTCTAAGTGGAAATTTATTTGTTACGCGAGCTATATTATGTTGGTTAAGTTACATAAGTATACCTACACATATTTTACATTTTATATTTATGTTACATATTATAAATATTTTAGTTAAAAATAAGTAGCGCAAATGTTAACAATTATCTTACACTTGAAGCCAATAAATTGGAAAACGTCAGTTTTGCTAATAATAAGGAAGCTCCTTAGTTTTTCATACACTCATTAATTGTAATATGAAATTCTCATTTCCGATAATGTACAATACGTCAACTCGCTTATATTCTTTATAACTAACAGATGTGTTACTTAATTTTAAGAACCCATAATAAGAAAATCTACATTTTGTTAGTCCAGCGTCGAAACCCCTAATTTTATGTTATCAGCCCTTGTTTTAAACGAGTAAAATAAGTTGACGATTAGCTTTAAACAAAGAGTTTCATTTATTTAAAAATCACTCCAACAGCGGCGGTTGAATCGAACTTACAAAAATTATGTACCATCATTTAATTTTTTCATATTAAGTATCAACATGACTTTCGAACTATAATAAGGAAACGATGTTGTCAACATTACGAAGAAGGTAATTTAGCACTACAGTGACTTGGCCACCACGATGACTCTCTTTCCGCACAGACTACGAAAGACTGGGTAAAAGGATTGCTGCTAATTGTTTTCAAAACGTGAAGAGTTTAACCAAAGTTATGAATATTCAGGAAGTTAAATAATAATTGTACAACTTGTCGGTCCGTAATTTGCTTTAGCACTGGTTATAGCTGCTGCTGTTCCTTGTTAGTGCTTGTATTAGTAGGTACTTGAATCATATCTGTAAACGGCCAAACCCTTCTTCTCAATTTTTCTCTTCACAAGAAGACACATGTTTCACAGATCTTATTGTGTTCCTCGGCATTAAACTATTATTAAGGCGATATGTATAGGCAGTTCATAGCCAATCACATAGTCATGTTATTAGAGGTAGTAAGAAAATCTTTGTTGCTCGATTTGGTACCATTTCTTTGGTGATATGTCGGAGAAAGACCTATATACATAGTCGTTGAAGGAGTTTTGGATGAACTGACTTTTAGATTGGTCATCCCTGTCGTGACCAACTTTAGGGTCGTATCGCCAAAATAATACCATAAGTGACTAGCTCATAGGCTTGCGACGTATTGAAAGAAGTACAATAGGTATATAAACTAATTCTGAATAGCATTTGCGACTATTGTGTGTTTGCGACTAGTGTACGAGTAATTTTATGCTTTAGAGTTTAATGATTATACACTAATAATCGTGTCTATTTCTACACACTTTACACAATCTATTTTTAGGTAAAATCAAGCGAATAATAAAGAGTTTAAATGTAAAAACAGCTAGAGACTGTCGATGTCAGCCTACACTACACAAATGGCTTCCGCTAAGGCTGTGTACTGTTTACGGCAGTGTACCGGTAATGACACGAGGCTGCTCTGTTATTGGGCCGACAGCGAGTTAATGTACCCTCTAATATGTTTAGAGCGGACTTTCAAAGGATCCACCAAATTATACATTTGTAAACCGCTAGCTATTTAGTTTTCAAAAGCCATGCAGCAGTATTACTTGCTTTTTAGACGAGTTCTGGGATGTTAATATAAAGTAAATTTTCAGAATTTAATGAAATTATGCTTTGTGTTGTAAGGCTCATAGGTTTTATGTATAGTACAAAGCGTTTCATACAGACAACAACTATAAAAATATTATTTAAGCTGTGAATAACATGAAAAACCATCTCCACTGGTCCTTATCGCATCTACTGGAGCCCTGTAAAATAGCGAAGAGCGTGCAACGTGCCGATAATGGCTTTCCAATTCGTTAACCCACTTTACACTTTTCACGGTTCACACCGCGCTCAAGACGTTTGTTAATTTAAATTAATTCTCACGAACTCTCTTTAAGTCGAGATTTAGGAGACAAAGCCGTTTGGTGCGGACGGATCCGAAGTTGATTGCTTTGTGGCTTTAGCAGCGCAGTTCAGGGTTTTCGCCATTACCTCATACGCTAATCATATCTCCTTAAAGATTTCAGTTCTTCGATCAAAATATTTTGTCTACTATTACATGATTTATATTTACTAAAAGAGCTTGCTTATAATAAATAAACTACAAAATTTTCAGTTTATATGTATTTTATCCACAAGGGTTTTATACAAAATTTACAAAAATACGTAATGTATTTACTAGAATGTAAGACTAGACAAAACATGTTGAGGATGTGAAAAACTTTAGGTTGAATCGAAAGAGGATTCAAGACAAGAAATTTCATGAAATTAATTGAAATTCAGCACAAACTATGAGATCAGATAAACGTCGTACCGTGAATTGAATTTTGTTGCTAAACTTTATTATAAGGTGAGAGTTGGAAGTTGATTCAGGAGTGGCCCTAATCGGACGGGATCTTAGGATTATATTCATAACTGGGGTCTTACTGAGTCCACAATGTTTTGAAAATGTCAGGACTGTATATATATTTGCAGATAATAGAATTTGTATCAGTGAAGAGTGGGAAACTTAAATTGAAAAGTTACATACAGTGTACTGTGATGTGAAACGAGAACCGGGAAAGATAATAAAACTTTGGCATTACTATGTACCTCTTATTCCCTTTGAGTTTATAAAAAAAATTTAGATTAAAAACACAAAAGATCTGGAAGAAATCTCTTGTATTCTACTGAATAGTTGATTTGCCGAGTAATGAGTCCAGGGTCCTTGACAGTCCTAGGGAACATATTGTACAGACAATGCGAAAAACATGGTCTTTTCTTTGCGATCTTTATTGTGTTGTCAATGTTAAGGTTGATAAACGTATGCGTGAACCCTTTAAGATATTAAAAAACAGTACCCGTGTATTTTATTTGAATAATTCTCTTTTATACACTCTTTTATACAGCTTATGGTAATAAGCTGTTAGGCTTTTTGTAGGCGATATTCGACCTGATAATGCGTAATTAAAAAGCTCTAAAAACGAATACGCAAGCGTAGTTGAATTCAAAGTTTAGGAGTAATTGACCTATTTTTTTTAATAAACTTTATTTTGTATCTGTTAAAGAATGCGCTAATGAAACAGTCTTATTATTTTTAAACTGATTTTAAACATTACCACTACATACCTTATATGTATTATGCTATTGAATCCGCAAATACTAAGCTGGCAATCAAATCCAAAAGCGGAAATCGCCAAACCACATCGAAATTTATTATTTTTGATAGAAGCTAACTGGCGCTAATCCAACAGATATGAAATAGATAATTTGGGCCGCAGCCGGCTCGCGGTGCAGATTGCACCGAGGTGAGAGTTATTGCTGCACTTGCAT